CTGATTATATATCTGTAACAGTTGGAAATGGCAAAAATAAGGTAAACCTGCTCAATACCTAAAGTTCTGTTTCATTCCTTATATTTGGAATTATATTTTGGAGAAAATGCAATTATCTATCCATTCTAAATCATCACTTCAAGGTATTAAAGGAAGAAGAAATTACTTTGAACCTAGTTTTTTCTAGAGTGAAGCCTTTAATGGCCTTTAAGTCATATGCTGGGAGTTATAACTGGGACCGGGAGAGAAATTAAATTAGATTACATTTATATTTAGGCTTACTAAAAATTAAATATAGTGTAATGCGGGACAGCTCACCAGTTGTGTATTTAATTAAAACCACCCATCTGCCACATTAAAAATTACAATCTGATAACAAATTTTGGGGGACTACATTGACTACAGGCTTTCAGAGGCATTTTGATGCTTAAGGTTACAGGCACAATTAATTTATAAATATCAATAATTGTAATGTAGCTTTACTGTGAAAAAAGAAAAACAATAATTAAGGATGGCAAATATGATAACATTCATTAATGAAAGCTATACTTATAAATTTCAGTGGTTTTCATTAATTGATGTGGATGAAACTCAAGTGGAGACTATTGAGCAAGTTTCATTGGCAGAATCTTTTTCATTGGAAATATACTGTAATATCAACTTGGACTCAAAAGTTTAATATTTGAAACTGTTACACTGTGGTTCAAGTAGAATAATGAAAATCACTCCCAAATTATGTGTATAAGTTGCATACCTGGGGTTCTTTGTCGTGTTTGTGTGTGTGTGTTTGTGTGTGTGTGTGTATACACATACACAGAGTATATATCCAAAGTGAACTGAGATTTAGAGGTATGGGAAATAAGATTGGCTGTAAGGTTATGACTGAATCTTCAAAGAAATTTAATTTAAGGATTGTTTTATTAATAATTTGTTTCCATTTTTAAAGCCATATTAACACAATATTAGTTTTGTTTATACAAGTGTATTTTGGATAGAAATAGTTCATAACAATATTTACAATTTCTTTCCTTAAGGCTTCCCTTCATGTTTTCCTTTCAATACAGAAAGAATTGAGAAAGAACATGAATTTGATTCTTTTGACCGTCTAAAATAGATCCAAGATACTGGAAGTGCAGAGTCTCTCTTTCTAAGATGGGGGAAAGTGGAGGGAAGAAGAGGGTGTGTCTTATAATTATACATGACAATGATTTTATTTTTAAACCAAGAGAATAATGAGAGGGTAAAGAATTTTCTTGAACTCTGCTGTTTCCTCTTTCCCTTAATGTAATGGCCAATGGTGATACTGGCTTATTACTCTCAAACAAAAAGGAAAGGTTGTTTTAACAGCTTTACAAATAGGTTACATGACTGATATCCTTGATACATATTGCTCTTATGCCTGAATTAACTAAGAGGGATATGTTAATATATGCTCTTAGAATCTACCAGCTAGAAGGATTTAATTGTTGCACCAGGTTTTACTTTAATCGTGGGTATAGATTGTAAAATATATCAGTTCACATCCCATTCCAGCATTTCAGAAAGATCCAATTTATGTGGATCTTTTTCAGCCTAGCTTTCAAATTCAAAATTTCTCTCATTTCTAAGTAAAATTATTAATGTTCATTTTCCTCAACTGGAGCAAAGAACGAGAAACTAGAGGAAGAAAGATATTAGAATTCTAATTATTCGTAAAATATTTAAAAAAATAGAGGAGTTGGGTTTTAAAGGCAGATCAAGAATAGGAATAGAAATAGAAATAGAAATATAATTTAATGAAAGAAAGTAAAACTTACGTGAGGAAAAATACAAAACAGAAAAAGAATAACAAGAAAGCAAACAGGCAAAAAAGCAATTGCTGATGCAAGGTGGAGGAAAAAAGCTAGGAGAAATTATGCTGTATCTTATCTAGGAGTTTGCTTCCCTAGATGAAAGCATTCACAGTAGCTTTTATTTGCTCTATCACATGACTATTTGAACATATATTCTCTTAATGGATGACAAGTGTTTAGGATCAAGTGGATATTACATCAATGCTTTTGATGTCTCCTTTCTGTATCATTGGTTAGGAAGTCTCATTCCATTATTCAATTAATATAGAAACATTTGTGAATGGAAGAAAATACAAAGGCAACAGAAAATGAGGGGAAAGACTTGATTTCTATTATGCCCACGTTACAATCAAAACTGAGGTTTTGTGAAACACATTTCCTTCCTTCTGTATCCAAAGGTAAGCTAATGAAAAGGTAAGCTTATTTAAAAGAGTGTTGGGTTCATTATTATGTGAGTGTTGCATTGTAACCATCATTATAGTACTTTTATGTTTATACAGTTGTGCTGACAGAATTGAAATAATTCAAATCAGAGAATAAGCAGATAGCCAGATAGGAAGTCCAAAATTGCTGGTTCACTCAAGTGGCAAAAAAATGGGTTATATGCTAGAGAAAAGGTGTCATTAACTAGACAAAATAAATTATGTGACAGTGAAACGATACATCTGCAAGAAGGTAATAAAAATCCTTATAAAGCAAGGCATTTCTTTAAAAAATAACTATGAAAAAAGTGATGCTATTTTGTTCCAATCTTAGTTTAGATCATCTAAATATTCTGTACATTATTTTAGAGTAATTGCATATACCCAAATATCTCTGCAATTAAGTTTTCAATAAGCATTACTGAATTGCTTTAATGGTTAAAAAAAAAAGAGTACAAACATTTAAGAAAATAAAATCATAATCAAAACTTTTTAGTACCCTTTCATAATGGTAATTTATTAAACTTTTAAAGTAAAAAGATAATCATCATACACCTTCATAACTGCGCCTCAAAATCTAAACCTGTGGATCAGCTTGGTCTTTCAGAGTAAGAAAAAAATATGAGACTGCTAAATTTCTCACTGGTAGAGTAGTAGTGATTTGTTTACTCACGTTACTTATATAAAGTAAACAAAATTACTTCTAAAAATCAATTTAAAATTGTGGAGAAGAAGCAGAGCGTGAAAATTCAGGACAAGCAAGTAACATGATTTTTATCGTTATTTACTGATATTTGCTCATTATAAATTCCATTCCTACCCATACTAAAATAGAAGATGGTAGCAAAACACGTCAATACATGCGAGTTACATCAAAAACCAATCAAATCACTTCACACTATTATTTCTGTAATGTCACTATCAGGATAAAATTGGTTATTTTTATAAGATATTTAATATTAATAAATTAATTTTAAGCAACAATTTGCAATGTTATTTCCCACTACATATTAAATATTTATAATATTGCACAGCCTTCAAAAATACTGCACTATGTTACTGAATACACTAAATAAGAAATAGTATAAAAACAATAAACATCAGCCTGTTATAAATTGAAACCAAGAGGTAGATGATTTAACAAGAACAGAAAAAATTAGAAAATATTATGGATGGTAGATCCCAAATCACACACCTACTTGATATGATTCTGCAACTGTTTCTCTTAGCTCATTATCTCTGTGATTAAAAAAGTAATGTGAATAATTTAATGATGAAATAGCCCAGTGATTTTAATCCAACTATACAGTTGATAAATCTTTGGAATCCCTTGATTGTAACATAAAATTCCCATATTTTAGAGAGATGTTCTTCATGTATTATGAGCTTTATGAAACATGAAATAGTAAGTATGAATATAGTAACAAACTGTACTAAGTTAAAAAGGTAAATGGTACCTGTATTACAAATGTATACAAATTATGAATACGGAAATATAAGACTGATGATGAAGAAGAAGCTATCTATCTTTTAAGAAGTATACATTTATTATTAAACATGAACATAACATATTCTTTAACTAATAAACAAAAAAACCTGAACACAGTCCCTTCTTCCCTTCTATTCCTTGTTTCTTTTTAAACCAACCATAAATACTGAGTTTCTGGATTGTATTATTGACATGGTGCAAATGAAATAAATGATTAACTTTTTTCAATAACTCATGAATTTGCAGTAAAAAAACATGTTTTCTTCAAGTATGAAGAAAATGCTCCAAAGTGCGTATATATGTGTGGGTGTATCTACGCATACATGTGTGTTTATGTATAATATATATACCAAACTATGGTAATAATTTTCCACATTTTATACCAAATTATTCAAACTATTCTATTGAGAACTGCTAAAGCAGTGATTGTTTTCCTATTCTATTACTTTCAATTCTTAAGTGTCTTCGCTTCAGGCCTTTTAAAATATATTTATTCTGGATAATGAACTATGTTCAAAAGAACTGGCATAGGTTATAGATTTTTAATTGGAACAATCAAGAAAATTTTCCATATCAACAATGAAGATTTAATCTGTACATTTGAGCAATTAAACACACCATAGCCGGGAATTACTCTGGTAAATGGCTTCTAACAAGTCATAAAAATGGAAGAGAGATATGTTTGTTATGTGTCCATATATGTACACATAACCCGATGTATGTATGCTTATATGGTTTAATGCATTTATCATTAAAATAAATCCTTAGCAAATCACGTGCAAAAATAAAATGATATTAATAATCCACAAAAATCATTAAAAATTAATAAAAACGTAAGTACAGGGAATATATAGGCTGATTGCAGGAATATTTATTTAAAAAATCAATGAGTAAGTCAAAAGGGGAGGGGTTTACTCTAGATACGTGGATAGGAAATAAATAACGGTTTTTCTTAAATCCATCATGACAATAAATGAAACAAGATTATAAATAATAGGCCAAATTATTGCACACCATGTGATTCTTAATCTGGCTACCTGTGGGTCCCCCCCACCTCCCCTGTTTTTTCTTTTTTCTTTTTTGAAAGCCTTTTTTAGTAGTGGCAGGGACATGGGGCGGTAATAAAAATACAATAGAAAAATAAAATTGTGCTTATATGCCAAATGATTAAAGCGTGCAGCAAAAAAAACATGGGAAAATAGGGGATATTTTTTTTTAAAAAAGGCAATCCCATTATTTTTGAAATGCTGTTATTACCTGAGCATCTCGTTTTCTATATTCCTGGGTTTTATTGTCGTAGTCTGTCATGGCAGCCCGAAGCTCTTTTTCTAGTTTCTCAATTTTCCGTTCATGGTCTCGGACCAGGCAATCCTTTTCTGTGTTATGTTCTTGGAATAGGTGCGTCTTTTCCTGTTCATGCTCCAGCTTCAGCTCTACTATCTGATTGGACAATGAGGAGTACAGTTCATCAACAGAACATCCCTGTCGTCATGACAACTCATCTTACTGCTTAATTTTTTTTTCACCCCCACCATTTCATCGTAGGTTTTTACCATTATTTTTACGTCATCGTTACCTCACCTGCAAAACAAAAAACAAAAAGAGTGGCGGGGGGGATTCTAAGTTTTAGGTGCTATTCATAAAAACCAAACAAATTCAACAAATCTCGAATACTGAATGTCAGAACACCGGGGGATGAGGGGGGAAAATCCCTGTCACATTGAATGTACGTTACCGAAATCCAGCAGTGATACAGATTAAACGTGGTTAATTGTCTCTTCCACTCTTCATGGGTGCACAAACATCTCCAAAATAAAAGTCCATCTAATACAAATGAATGGAGGAATGTATATATATATATATGCGCATGTATGTGTGTCTATATCTATATCTGTCTATATAAACTTTTTGTCAACATTCCCCCACTATTTTTAAAATGAAAAGGCTCTATGAAAATGAAAAAAAACTGTAGCACCCCAGCACAAACAAATGTACGTGTTTTAGAAGGCACCTGCTGTGCCGCAAGCTTGCACCATGATTGCCAAGAAGATTCTATTCTCAGGAAGCTCCTTTGCCTGTTCAAAGCACACTGGATACGATGACCCTGGCCAGGCTTAGCCTCTCCATGTTAGACTGAATGGCAGCTGGAGACCAAGGGCCTGGTGGCTACAGCTTTAACACTAATCCTCCCAGACTGTGCACAATGGCACCCTACCTGGCCGGCAAACTATAGCTAGCTAGGCTGCCTTTGAAGCAGGTGGTGAATAGGGAACTGCAGGAAGCCAGCTTTCCTCGTGAACTCCGGGCCACACAGCTGCTAGGAACAGTCAGTTGAATTTTTCTTCAGTTTTGGTGGATTTCAGGAGAAGAAGAAAAGGCTGTTATCAGGAATACGATGGTTATATTTAGCGTGAGAATCTCTCCTCTTCAAAAAAAATAAAAATAAAGCAGCAGTAGGAATCTGCCCAAACAATTGATCTTGTTTGTGTGAGCAAAGCATGGAGGCATCTTATCTTAAAGAGATAGCATTCATTTTTGTAAAAGCATTCTCCATAACTGTCAACTTGGTGTGGATAAATAAATTTTCCATATATATTCTGAATACCCAAATCTTGATTCTTATGGAATCAAATTATTCTCAATTGGAAATATTTGGGTAATATATACTTGGCCTAGTACCATATAAAGCAAATTGTTGAAACTGCAGCTTTGTAAATAGATACATTCTTTATTGATTGTTAATGCTTTACTAAGGTTTGTGGTGCAATTAAAATCAGTTTATTTTAAACATTTTTGTCAAATAGCTATAATAGGCCTGGTATATTCTTTTTTAGCAGAAAGTAGTTTCCTTGATTACAACTGAATGTGCACTGTGAAAATCAAGATAAATTAAAATAAGGAAAATTACTACCCTTTTTCTAAACAGACCAACCATAATTGAATTTATATTGTAATTTGGGGGAAAAAGTCCCGATCAAAACTGCAAACTTTTCCTTCCCCAATTAATTCTGTGTTTGTCCTGTTTAACTAATTCCCTGAAACCAACTAAAGTGATTACTAAAAATATAAACTATTATTAAAACAAGAAAATTATCTGAAAGAAGCATAAAAAGTTGTATGTCAGTCTTCACTTTACCATGCACTTTTCATTTTTTGTATTCAGCAAAATATTAAAATTGTGAAAGAGGGTATATATAACCAAGAAAAAGGACATCGTTACTTCTGAGAGTAGGAAGATGTACCTGATCTTTAAACTTAAATGACAGTACTGACTTCCTTGCAGAATATACTGTATATAAATAAATGACACTAGCACTTTGAATGCTAATCTATTAAGCCACCAAGAGTGGTCAACATAATTTCTTAGAAGCAATTGTCTCTTTCCTTCTCCATTCTTTACCCTGTACAGTTGGATATTAAAGTTTAAACATTTTCAGTCAAACAATATGTTTCAGTGAATTCTTAAGTGAACAGTAGCTGATACAACCTCTACTTGGTACAAACTTAAACATCACATCTCTCTGCAAATGTTAAATGCATACTTATTATGCAATTGCCTAAGATCTCTGCACAAATGTTCTATAATATGAAAATCTGGAGATTGTGAAGATCAGTGTTAACATTTTATCTTTCTTTCCTTTCATACTTGATTGGGGGTATATTTTAGGACTCAGTCTTGCTGAATTATCTAACTTCATTCCAGCTTCAAATTATTCATTGTCTGTAGGACAATGTATGTGTGGGACAACAGTATACACACACACACAATATTTCCTCTACTAGTAGCTGCCACACAATTCCAAAATATAATAGTCACCATTGTGCTTGAGATAAACAGTTCAATTTTTGTGCCATCAATTCAAAGTACTTTATTTTGAAAGGTCTCAGGCCTATCAGGGTTTTTTTATAGATGTAAACAAATCTTTTGTGATTTGACCAGAAACTTTTTTTTAATGACAACTCTCTCATGCAGATCATTTTTTTTATAAACAGCACTGAATTGTAGAACTATGTACTATTCAAGTATTAGCTATTTTTTTCAGCAGTAATATGTGGTTTCTACTCTTCAGTTTTGACCAGTTTTTGAGGCACTGTTAGTGGAGATTTTTCTTGGGTCTTTCAGATCTTTCTTTACTTTCAATGGTTCCATGTAACCTCAATTAACAAGGTTAGCACAGTGGAAATTTCTGAAAGTGTTTTAACAGATTTAATAGCTTTCCCGTCCTTTTAAGAGTGAATTATCTTCACTTTCAAATATGCCTAGAGGGTTGCCTAGAGGAACCCATGATGTTAAAAAGTAGATAGGTTAGAAGATCAAAGTATCTGTTAGTGAATTGAACTGCCAACATATAATAATAAATCTAATGAATCAATCACTTGAAGGGGGTGTTTAACAATGTTACAATACTGAATGAAGTAGCAAAATGACAAAACTTCTGCAACTGCCATATTCATAATTTCCTTAGTTTGAACTTTAAACAACTGCAGATGTAGAGGAAGTATGCATTTAATTGTGTACCAGTGTGGTTCTATTTGGATCAGGTTCTGTCCAGGATTAATTGAAATATAATGAGAAGAAGATAGTGAGCATCTAGTCGTCCTGTGATGGTGTTAGAAGATAACGAGGCTCATATCTAGCTACTACTAGAATGTGATTTCAGCAAGGGATACCATGGTTATAGGTTAGATTGGAGGGGTGGGGGAATCCAGAAGAAAGCAATAACAAATTGCTTCCATATTTCTACCAAAACTACCCGGATGCATCACCAAGAACGAAATTGAGCAAAACAAGATTTACATTTTGTATTTTATAAAGGGATACTTTAATCTACTACTACCAACTCTTAATGACAGAAATGATAAGTAGTTGATTTGTAGAAACCAAAATATAAAAAATAGGAACCACTAGTACCTATTAACAGCTTCTTACCTTTGCCCACTCCACTGCCTACTGGATACCTGATATTAAACTTAACTTAGGACATTAGCTATTGTCTTTTCTCTCACATATTTTGCTCTGTTTTTCTATTCCTGAAAATTTAGGTACACTAATTCATTATTCTGCAAACATACAAAAAGTGAGAGGTATGTATTACATCACTTTTGGTGCTTTCCAGCAATATAATAGCAACAGTGGAATATTTGGCACTTTACAGGTAGTCCTTGACTTACAACCATTCATTTCGTAACTGTCTGCAATAACAATGCGCTGAAAAAAAGTGATTTATGACCACGTTTCAATTGTACAATTCTTGCAGCATCCCCTGGTCATGTGATCAAAATTTGGATGCTTGGTGATTTTCCGGTTTGTCGGCTTTGCGAGCGGTAGGGATTCGCGAAGCTGCGCGATCCCTGCCGCGCTAGCCGTTTTTGGGGCTCCGATCCGAAAGGGTGCGGAGCAAGGCTGCCCTGTAGGGGCAGCTGAAGGTAGGGGGGATCCGGGAAAGGGTTTGGGGGTGCTGCAGACCCCCTCCCTAGCCGGCAGAACCTCCCTTTGCCAAGACGGTGCAGCGGCGGTCTGTAATGGCCGCCACAAAGAAGCCGGCAGCTGGGCAAGTATGTGCTGGAGGAAGAGGAGAAAGTTTTTAAAAGTGAAAGTCTTCTTGGTCGACCCAGGACTCTAAGATATATTTAATTTAATTCCTGAAAATGATGGCTTTTTGGGTGATTCTTTCCACAAGAGAAAATAAGCGGCAATTCTGAGGTGCTGAAAGGAAAGTTTACTCTCCCCCCC